TGAAGTCTTGCAAGCACTATAAATTACTTGACTAGTTCTTAGTCAACCTTGTCCCTTTTGATTAATTGTTCCATTTCTTGAAACACCATTCACTGTTTATACTTTGCTTTTAGATGTGACAGTAATTTGTTTTGTTGTTATGCTTTAGTTAAGCACTTAACTTAAGGTGGCTCCCTAGAGTATTTACAAACACCCTCCCTATAGAGCACGAGTTAGAAAAGGAAACTGAGTTAATTCCTCTTGAAGTTTTCCCTGTAGAGATTTCCCAGTATGGATACTGCTAAAATAAGGCTTATTTTTCGGTTGTCACTTTTTGGATTAAGGCTGTTACCATGGCAACAGCTCATCTAATGACATGCAGATATATTCCTCATTTTGGCCTAAACTCCTTAACATTTAAACTTTCCTTCGGTGAAAGTTTTTCATACTTTGCCACATCATGGAAATGATATTGCCTGACATTTTGAATTGGTAAAAAGTCAAGGTTGGTCAGACGGTTTTTCCAATATTCTGCAATTTGTCATTCTTCTAAATATACTCGATTAGCTCTGACAGATTTTAACAAAAATAGGGTATTTTATAGGAATTGTATGTGGTTACAACTGAGCCAAATTTTAAAAAAATTCAGCGAAGGAAACGCGAGAAAATTCACTGTCAGTTTTGCTTTTTGTCCTCATGTTGACGTCATAAAAATAAAAAAAAAACACTGACATTTTCCTTTGAGCGTGCGCAGATTACTTGAGCTTTCTATATGCGTCCTATACGCGCGTGCGATCGTAAAACTATAGGGAGCCACCTTAACTACCTGTAAAAAAATCTTTTCTGAGATACATGTTCTGGTTATAAAGTTTTTGATCTTGACTGCAGTCCAACGTTTCCAAATGCTTTAGTTTCTTTTTCAATGACTTCAGTGACAATACCTTCCATATCCTCTGGAGGAATGGTGGTTTTCTGCTTGGAGGAAAACTCCTGTTAGATAAGGGGAGAAAAAAGATTCTGAAGCATTCTGTTGTTCAATACACTGAGTGATCTGTAAACTGCTCTGTCACACTGTTTTGCACTTCGTTGAGAGTTTTGTTTATTTTTAGACATTATGTTTGTTTTCTTAGTGATAAAACCGAGCACGCGAGATTCCCGCCATTTTTGCTTTGATGTGAAGTTTATATGAAATAATTCATATACGAACTGCGGTTGTAGATGAAAGTGAAGAATGATCATCGCAGTTAATTTTCCAATTTAAGCA